TAATAAGTAGAGGCATGAGCGCCACTGTTTGCGACACCCAGCCATATCGCTCAGTGTCTCTAACTATCGGTGACCATGATCTCGGGGTCCCCAGTCAGGGAGCCCAACGGGACCTATCGTCAGGGTTTGCATACCTGTTGTGTTCCAAAATTAAGTAGGTAGATGAGCACACAACGAATTAAGCAGCAATTTTATAGTAAACAGCAAATATGTAGCCGGTTCACAAAACGGGGAACAAGCAGGAACGAACAACGTGTAGGAAGGCAGGCAGGCAGGTCGACACCGGCTCAGATGTCGCACTACATGCGAAGGCCGTCAAGCCAGCATTCAAACAGTCAGTTAATCGATCAACCGATCGATCGATCAATCAATTTGGCCACAAATATGTATAAACAGAAATCAGTCAGTTGTAGGCCACAACAATACCCTCATGCCAGGTCCTCGTTTGACAGTCCTTGACCTTTTTCCAACCGTTATCTACCTCAGCAAACATAGCTGGCCGTGGCAACCTGTCTGGTGACATGCGTAACACGCCCCAACCAACATAATGTATGGAGTTCGACCACTTGCTCCAGTGGGCGACCGCATTTACCTAAAACTCTGCACCTAACCTCAGCGTTGCTCGTTCAGTGGCCCCACCAGATTCGTGCGATGCTGCGTAGACAGCGTTGTTCAAACACCGACAGTCTATCTTTATCTTAATGTGGTGAGTAAGATTTCTCATTACCCAGTGATGATGACAAGGAAATTAGTACAGTAAGATGCCGGGTCCTTGAGTCATTGTTTGGTGAGCCTGTAAATCACAGCCAGACCAAATAAGATTATCCTAGGGGGACCAAATCCATCGAGGAAGATGTCCGTATACTCATCATAGTTCAATTTAGAAACAATCATGGATCAGTTTCCAACCACAATCTGTGTCGGGGATCTTGTACATCGAATATTCCTATTCAGAGGAGGGAATCGCAAAGAATATCTCAACCGCCGCATTGGTAAGGTACCTGGGGCTTATATAACGATCCACATGTGCTCGTGATATTGCTTGTTCCGTTATTTCACTGTGCATAGAAAATATCATGATGGACAAACTTTGACTTTTCTTGTTTTTTTTTATCTGTTACAATCAAAAATCGTATTTTCATTGCCCGCTAAAACCAATCAAACTGCCCTGGAATAAATGAAATTCCGAACAGAGTCGACACCATACGCCTCCTAAAATAACTTTCCCCCTGAGGTTCGTTTATCACAACTTCGCGGCATCAATTGTTCCTAAAATTGCAAACCATGGTTTGAAGCTACCAGAAAAGCGTGGGAAAAAAACTATGCCTTTTTGAAATTGAATTGTTCATGGGTTATTTTAAACACGGATCAGTGCGCTCGATAGTTGGTAAACATGTGCAACTGTTCATGTGTCTAGGTTCGTATGCTGAAAGAATATGCCGAACAGTTGACACGCGACACATTAAATTGTGTCAAATCGGACGAACAGATTGTTGATCAAGCTCAAATACTCCTGTCCGCATCGGGGATACCCTATCAACGCATGAGCGGTCTACGCTCACGGCGTGGTTCACAATTCTCCTCTGCCTCTTCTCACGTGACTAGTCCGTCAATCGCGCGGAGTCCGGCTTCATCGGGCACTGTGACCCCGGTCGATCAGTCACGTGTTCCAAGTGCGCGATCCATGGATTCACAAAATCCACCAATCAAAGATCTGACCATGTCCGGCGTCGATGTGACAATCCGTAGTAGTGTGAGCACGAGTACATCCCAAATGTAAGTTGCTTTTTATCTGTTGTCTGTGGAACTTTTCTGACCCTCGACCTTCACGGTTCAAATCCCAACGAGAACCGAATTTCATCTGAGCAACTTTTCGATGCAGGCAAATGAAAATTTTAAACTAAACCAAATTAACGCTCACATCGCTAGCGATCGGGTAAATAATACCGAAACTCAAAGCCACTTTTCGCATCCAATTTTGAGTTTCCTTTTTGAGTAAGTGTGATGATGTGTTCTTTTATTAAAATGTGAGTGGACACCTAATTGCACGCTGAGATATGTAGGGTTCGGGCTAGAACGCTGCCGCAATCGATTTTGATTGGAGATCCCACATAGAATGTAATAAGTGAACAAAGTAGCGGTATATTGCTATTTCCCTTCATCAGATGGTAAAACCTAGTTGCCGCAAGTTTGCCAGTTCTTTTTCATAGAAATTCGATGAAAGACCTCCAGTGATGATTGAAGATGAAACAGTATTCCTGTGATGGGCAACTTGGTGGTCTCACGATTGCAACAAATATTTGGTTCCCGTTCATATATTCGTCTTTTGTTCACTATGTTTCTACTGACAGTAGGAAAAAAATAGATTGGGAAAACAGCGAAAGTGACCCGATTTTCGTTGCATCATAACCATGAATTACAGTGAAATGTGTTGAACTTCACGATCAAAGGACACAAGAATGGATGCAAGTGACTGTTTATATTTACGATACAAGATAACAGTGGTGGTTAATTTGCAAATCACTTTCCTCGAAGGAGCACGCACTCCTCCAACTTTGTGTATTCTTTCTTTACATTATAATCATTGATGTTGAATGAACTGCAGAACAGCGGATTGATTGAATCCCGCTTCGAAAATTCACCTTGCATGTTAACGACGCCAGCGAGCTGGGTTAGAAAAGTGACCTTGAACAGAACCAATCGGATCCCAGTTTTTGATTTGATTTCTCTTGTGGGATTGGATTTACAAAAGCAGAAACGTGCAAGCAATGATTATGGTTTACGTTAGAGACGTGTGACAAATTCAGTGAGTAACTCTCATTTTACAGTCGATCTGGTCCGTTCCGTCGGAACTGTGCGTCAAACCCGTGTCGCACACGGCCAAATTCACGAACCAAGTGAGCTCAAGAAAACCGAACACCTCACCTCTGTGAAAAAGAGCACCAAAGCACGTTGTCACCCCGTGTAATTTCGGCTTTTGTGGTTCTTGTACTTCTCGTGGTCTATATTCTCCGTTGTGATAGGTTGTTGTCGTTGTTGTGGTCCCGTTTCGGTTGTCAGAGTAAACCAAATATTATACTTGCACTTCCTTTACAATTTGGGGTAAAACAAAAAGCCTGTTCGTTAGATAAAGGACACCAAACTGGGAGAGAATGGTGCACTGATTCCAAACACTAACTGATGAAATAATCGACAGTCGAACATAGCAAAACAATTACCATTAACAGAATAAAGTGGAACAACACAAACATATGGAAATCACTGCGGTATATGGAAGAAAAATTTGCAGATGGCTCTTGCAAAACTTCTTCAACCGTAGTCAGAAGTTGACTACTTTCGTCTTTATCAGTAGCCAGTTGAAGTAATGCAAGCTATGTAAGTGAATTGCATCAACTTGGTTCCTTACCGGTTGGCCAACTTCGCGCTAGTAAGAGCTCCCGTGCAAAAAGGCAAGCAAGGTAGTCAATCAACAATATAGAGAGACACAGTCCCGCAGTATAAACTTCTTTGGCTATCATATGCAGTACGAACCCATCATTCTCATGGTCAGAGTAGCGGTCTTTTATTATTAGGCATATCAGCTGGCTAGTACAAGAGGTGCAACCTACAGTCAACCAAAGCGACTTTTTAGCTAGTAGAACCGGTAGCCTTATGTCTCGCATTTTTGGGCTACATAAGAGTTCGATTGGATAACCACGGTACTGAGTCGAATAACTGCAAAGATTAGTAATCACTTGATTGTCACTTAAATAAATGGGATCGAGCTTTAGGTAATCACAGAAATGCACAGAATCTTCGTGGATTGCATTGGTTTGGGTATGTGATACACATGCCACTAAATAAATTGCCCTGAAGTTTACAGAGGCAGAAGCTTAAAGGTGGTCATGATTATATCTGGAATAGGGGTAGAAAAACCTTGACCAGGAGACCTGCTTACATAGGTCGCATTAGGCTTCGTGGATGGGGACATTGGGTGGTATGTATGTGTCGTTATCAGTATCACTCGCGTATCTACGCAATTTTCTCGCGAACTTGGTCTACTTGAATCTCCATCTTCCTCTTGGTAGTGCTCCCAGTCTTCCTAACTCTTCCCTCTTCTCCATTATGGGCTGCACAGAAAACAGTAACCGAAACCGCCAAATAAGAGCGCCATTTTGGTGGTTGTATAAACTGAAGTATTCGATTAAAGAACTATACGACACAGTACGTCTGCATTGATGACACCTAGCAAAGTTGGAACAGCTGTGTAAGTGCGCCCTAGTTTTTCATTTCATATTCTACCTTGTTCTGCATCTATACTAAATTTCATCATTCGGACGAATCAGGTCTGTTACCACTTTTGAAAACGGATAACTTTTAGTGGGATCATGGGAACTAATCAGGTGCGCAAACATCAAGGATACGAATTCTCCGACGAGGTCCTATACGGTTAGCCAAACTCACTGACCGGAACATACCATGATTGGTTGTGACAGTGAATCGCATGAGGACTGGGTGGTGTGAAGAGTTTACAGGTTTTTCACCATTCGTGGTGGACAAGCTTTGATTTAGAAGTCCGTACCGCTCCTGCTTGTGTTAAAGCTCACATGGAATCATGCTCTTAATCACAGTTATCACTTAAACTGCTGCAAGTGACCGTTCAATTATTGAAACCATTCCTCACTCTATGTGGTTGAGAATACAGCCCATCCGATCACAAGACCGGCAATGCCATTCTGACCGGATGAGGATTTAAAATTTCGGATTTCTATTGATCAGTTTCATT